AGAGGCTAGTAAAAATAACATGTAATAATTGTCTTTTAATTTTTACTTTCTCCTTTAAAATGCATTCGAAAAAATTCATTTTGCATGAAAAAAATGATTTTGACATTCATTTCTTTTACATTTCTTTTTCAGAGAGTTGTTCAATAACAAGATAACCGAAATAGAAGACAGTGCATTCATTGGTTTGGCAAATTTGGAACTTTTGTAGGTTTTTTTTTCTAATAGTTTCAAATTACACATATTTTTTAGAGTATCAACTCAACAAAGTACATGTATTATACACTTTGATTTGATAAAACAATTTCAAGAACAATCGCACCGTCCCTTGGATTTTTATGCGTAAAGAATAAACAAAGTAACCTAAATTTCAACGATAATTTTTCACAATTTTTTTCCAGATTTTTGAACGGAAACAAAATAACCACCATAACGAAGAGCACATTTGTGGGTTTGTCAGACCTAACACTTTTGTAAGTTTTTTCCCTAATAGTCCCTAACTACAGATAGGTTCAGTATAATTAAAATCAGACTTAGATCCGCGCCGTATTCACTCTGCGCACAGTGAATACGGCGCGGATCTAAGAAGTCTGATTTTAATTAGATTGCGGATATGTTTTGGAATATCAACCCAATAATGTATATAAACTAACAACAATTTCAAAAACCATCGTCTCCTGGATTTTTTTTTACATTAATGTTGAGCCACACTAATATAGTTGTGAACACTAATGTTAATAATGAAGTGTATCATAGAAATACATGTAACTCACTTGCTTAATTTGTAATATGTGACGAATATTGAATTACTTATGGAATCAAATGAATAAGTTAGTGTGTCATTCAGATTTATAAACCGTGTTGTACATACAGTTAAACAGGGGTATAACGAAGTCACTGGGGGACCAACTAAATTTAATTTATTCGCTCTATCCGTAATTCGTTATATATGTATAAGGAATTCGTTAAATTTATGTAGCTTGGGATCCAATATAACTTCGCTATATCCTTGAATTCGCAATATCCGTGTTCGTACTAAACGAGTTTTACTGTAATAAGATTGATAATTCTTGGGGTTGGCATAGTGAGGCTAGAATGATTTGTTCACGTGATCTATACCTTCTTATCAAAATGATTTTTTAAAGAAAGGGGTAAAGTTATTATGATTTTTTAGGGTGACATATACTAGCACTTGAAATTCACTCTTAACTTTTTTTCCTTTCAGGTATGTGTATGAAAACAACATAACCACGATAGAGGATAACGCGTTCAATGATCTGACAAAATTAGAGAAACTGTAAGTTTTTATTCAAAATATTTTTGGGATGTCAATCCTCTAAACTCATGACGCTTCGCAGTTTATAAAGCATAAACCGCCCAAACTCAATTTTAATTTGTAAATTTCAAGTTGTTGCACTGTGAAGCTAGTTGGAATTATTCACTTGTTAATCGTCCTTATTAAGTATTTATTTTTAAAAATCGAAGAAACTTTAATTATGCTTGAAAATATTCTTGCTCTTGACATTCATTTTATACATTTTTACAGACATCTGTACGAAAACATGATATCCAAAATTGAGAACAACACACTCACTGGTTTGACGAACTTAACAGAATTGTAAGTTTTGTTTGATTAGTTACTATAACTACAGGTACTTATGGAGTATCAATCCACCAAAGTATTATATACTATGTTTTTATTCAACAGTTTCAAGAACGATAGCATTGTCCTTTGTTTTATTTTTAAATTTTTTATGTTGCCCTGAACCTTTAACGAACAGCATGATTGAAGTAACTCACTTGATTTATTTGAAATGTATATGTGACGAATATGTTTTCTGAAATATTGAAAGATTCAAATGATAAATTAATACGGGATGAGTAATTCAGTTTGACGGATAAAAATGAGTTTGTTCATGTTATCAAGATTTAAGATACCTATGGTGGTGTTTTAAAGACAAGATCTAGTAAATGAAAAGTGCCTACAAAAATATCAGATTTAAGAAATAAATTCCTCTTAATGATGCTTTGTACCGTCAGCTTGGTCAAATAAAGTGTTTTGGGACATTCTTTGTAGGTAAACAAGATGAAAAATTATGTTTTAAACTGTCATTTCCAATGAAAAATTTAGAAAATCGTTCAGGAAAATGGGAGTTCTTTTTCATGAAACATATGGAGATAAGGAGATAACGAACAGTATTCAAGATCAAAAGATCAGAGCAAATAAGGACCTCCAAAAAGTAGGAGGTGGGATCAGGTGCATTTTCAGACAAATAAAATGTATTCAGATTGCTTACAGTCTTTCAGAAAATAGTAATTTGTATGTTCTTGGCCTGTTCTTTAAAATAGTATCTGAACTACTTTTCATGTGGTTTCAAATTGAATTCTATGGAAAAAATCTCCAATTTCTACATAATTCTATTAGAATCGTAAATTACGGAAAAAAGAGTGTTGAAAGTTATTATGGCATCATAATGGATCTAGCACCAAAAAGTTAGTCTAAAGACATTTACTTGATCTTGACCTTAAGGCCAGTAAGAATAAGTCATGTCTTAAATGCTTTTTATAATTATAATTGTCTAAAAGGGAAAATGAGTGTGACGTATACTTGCACTTGAATTTACCCTCTTCACAATGTCTTTCAGGCTCATGAGCAACAACAACATTACAACAATAGAGGTTAACGCTTTTAAAGATTTGACAAAATTGACGAAACTGTAAGTTGTAATTTAAAATATGTTTTGGAAAATATAATATCCTATGCATGCATTGGTTCATTCAATAATTTTACAAGATAAATTCGATGCTTAAGATATTTATTTTGAATATCAGTTCTCCAAACCATACTAGTATTATCCTGCGGATTGATTTATCCACCCATTTCACAAAACGATAGAGACTGTAAGTTCAGTATTTAAAATATTTTTGGAATATCAATGCTCTAAAGTTTAATATCTTATAAATTAACGAAACATCCTTGTGATATAAAGTTTCCTTTCTTAAATATTTTTTACATTAATTTTGAAAGGAAACGGAGTGACAGATCTTTTGATTTTCTGTGATTTGTCTTTGGGATAAAACTGCATAAACCAAGGTCCCGTGTCGAGTAGGTGCTGGCACGATAAAGACCCCCCCTCCACTCTCGAAGCTGTAACTTCCGAGTACAGGTTTAAAACAGCCCTCCATCGACAAGTTGTAGTGCCCCAATATCTGGGGAAAATTCTTGAAAGTGTCGCAAACCAATACCCAACCACCTTAAACATTTTTAAATTTAAATTACAACTGCAGATCCTGTGGTTTATTTTCTCTATATTTTTGGTAAGCTATATGATCTTTATTTTCAGGAATTTAAGTACTATAAATCGCAAAAACTAACAAATATTCAAAATTTACTTTAAGACTTGTAACTCTCAGAACGCAGAAATTTAAATTTTTCTAACTCCATTTTTAAAAATACGATACTGAATAGAATATATACATGTATCGGGAATCTTTTTCTCATGGATTATAATTGAATATGTATTATTCAAACACACATGTAAATAGATCGTGGTTGTAAAGAACGGAAAAAAAGGTTTTAAGTTTCTATGGCTTCTTAATGGAATTAACACTGAAAAGACAATCTTAGCTCATTAACATCTGTAAATAAATATAAAAGTACAGGCACTTAACGTCTTTTCTTTCAATTTGCTTTCAGAGATCTGGGCAACAACGATATAACCACAATAGAATATGTGACATTTAGTGGTTTGACAAATTTAAAAGATCTGTAAGTATCTCAAGTAGAAAAAGCTTTAAAAATATATTTTAGAGTATATGAGGAGTGAAAATATAATATACAAAATTTATATCACACATACATTTTTCTTCAATGTAAAAAAATTATATATACCGGATGATTTCAGAATGAATTAATTTCCTATTGTTCATGTTTATAATGCTTTTATATTTTGTTTCGTCACATTCATTGATTTCTCATAATTTTATGCTACATTTTAACTTTACGTTGTACATCATTTTCTATTAACTATTTTGGCATCATTTTAAAATTAATGATGCATAACACAATCAATATTTCATGCATGGATGATATACATTTCCTGGGTGATTTTGAATAGGAACGACATAAATAAACAGAACCAAAAATTTAAAGAAATCGTATTTTTCGAGGGTTAGATATAGGACTTTCTATAGCTTTTTTTATACAAAAATTTGTATATCTTTTAACATTGTGGCAGAAATTTCAAAAATTCTTCCAGTGTACCTGTAAAATATTATAAATGATTCTTATAAAAAGAAAAAGGTAAATTATTATTTAGGACGATGTAAATTGATTTTTGATTTAATGGGGGACAGTCTTACATGTCCTCTCACCCTCTTCTTCTTCAACATTTCTGTCTGTATAATCATACAACAAACATTTGACACTTTCACTACTGGACAAAAAAAGTTCTGAGAATTCCAAATTTTACTTATAATGTTTGATGATTACTGATGCAGTGCTGTTGTTGGTGTTGGTGATAATTACTCATATTCACTGCTATTTGTATTGTTGTGCTGCTAATTTTAGTTGTTTTTGATAAATACTTATTATTAATATCGTCCTTTTGTGACTCTCAGCACTTTTTTTCGCCCAGTTGTGTTTACTTATGGCACGTTGTCCAATTGCCATCAAAAAATCTTTTAAAGATATGTCTTTCATTTGAATTCCAGCGACTGCAAAAATAGTTGGAGAGCAATATTTTCAAATTTTACAATTTAAAAAACTAGCATATGTATATTATTTAAATACTATGCATATATTTTTTGTTGTTCTTTATCAAGCTATCTACATTGATATTTTGAATGTATAGTTACTAAGTATATACATGTATATGAACGTAGAGATAAGGTGAGACTGTAGATGTTGAGATTCAATATATCTTTGGTAATGTTGTAAGGTTAGTGAAATTATTCATGAGATCTACATGTACTTTCCATTAACGCTTATTTTAGGTATCTACACGACAACAGTATTCATACAATTGAGGATAATGCATTCAGTGATTTGACAAATTTATGGACTTTGTGAGTTAATTATTTCATATAGTTTTTGGATTATATCAATTATACAAATTTGTTTATCCCATGTATGGATTCATTCACGAATTTTAAAGAATTACAGAGACTACAACTTCATTAATTAAAATATATTTTTGAAAACCAATCCTCCTAAATGTAATTGATTTAATCACGAATTTAAGGGTTTACTGCAATAAAAGATCCTTCAAGAAAACATGTCATGAAAAATTTAATATAATGTTTTTAGGAATTTACACCATATTATCTGTAATTTTTATTTTTTTATCCTACTTTGATTTATTGCTATGTAACTGTAAACGCAGTGAAGTTTTAAGTACTATTTTACGCTTTGCTATTGAAATAATTATATTGAAAAATGACGTTTTAAGCTAATTTTACGAAAAGAGTTTCTTATTAAAAAAAGGCTTGGATAACGTATAAAAGACGTAGACGAATTAGTCAGGAATTTAAAGATGTCAAGATGAGGTTTGCTTTTACTTTGCCAAACGAATAACTTTTACGCCAATTCATTCGAATTGACTTACAGCAGTTTAGTAAAACTTACTATGAAAACTATTCCTTTTATTTTGGTACCTATTTGTTTTGTTTTAAGACATTACACATAATATTCATATCGGAATTCAGACTGTAATTTTATGATACCTAATAGTGGTTATATTCTGTTTTGATTTTTACCAGATTGATAGTATAGTGAACTTGAATTTAAAGAATTAACATGCGTGGAGTCGCTTGACAATGTTCATGTATCAGTGTTTCTACTCGAAGTCGGCGATGAAAGTACTGTTTGTTTGAAACTAAAAGAATGTCAATTAAAATACACATGTGCATTATTTTTACTATTCTAAGACATAATTTCTCAATTATGAGAAATAAATGCTTATTGAATAGAAAATAAGCGAGAAGTTCTGGGAAAAATTATTTATTAAATTTTTAAATCATAATATATCTTGGGGTCTGGACTGTTTATTTTAATTACTGGTATATGGAATATTGTTTTAAATCATAATTATACAAACTCTACCTGTTAAAAATCAATGGCAAAAAGGAAAAAAAGTAATGATCATGTACTAATTTTACATCAGACAATATACTCGAGTAGTTAAAAAGCCTGGCTTTCAATTCTTTCAATACTTTGATTAGGTGTTGCTTACTTCATACAAATGAAAAAAAATTATTGAATTTTGACAGACATTTTCCACTTATTTTTTCCAGATTAATGTACCAAAACAACATTACTGCAATGAATGAAAACACATTTACTGGTTTGAAAAGCTTAAAGCTTATGTAAGTTTTTTCCTAACAATTTCTGACTAGGATTTTTTTAGAGTAATAATTCACCTAAAAACTAATAAACTGTTATTTGATTCAACAATTTTAAGAACATCAACATCATGTCTTGTATTATTACTTAAATGTTCGCCTGATCCTTAAATGCAAACAGTAGGATAAAAATAACTCACTTGTAAAGCGTAATTCAGGTTGAGAAGTTGAGTTTGTATATAATATTGCGTAAGATTTAATATACCTGTGTGTACCTATGTATCAGTGGTGATTGTAAGGCAGCAAAGAATTATCCACGCGATCTATGTTTTTTTTTCTTTCTTTTAAAAATTATAATTCCCTAAAAAGTTTGAGGTAAAATTATTATGAATTATCAAATTCTGCAACTCTCGACATTCACTCTTCACATTTTTTTTTTCAGGTTTCTATCTCGCAACAGCATAACCACAATAGAGGATAACACGTTCAATGATCTGACAAACTTAGAGAAACTGTAAGTTTTTCGAAAAAGTTAAGGTTGTATAAAATTTTTAAATATAAAAATAAAAATAAGATTAATAAAGCGGGGTGGCCTCCGAGAGGCTAGTAATGATATTCTCTTCCTCGATGTTTTTATAATTATAATTTCCTTATAGAATGAGGTTAAAATATTATGATTTTCTAGGTTAACATAAGAAAGAACTTGACATTCATTCTTCATAATGTCTTACAGGTATCTAATCGGCAACAGCATAACCACAATAGAGGATAAAGCGTTCAATAATCTAACAAATTTAGACTTATTGTAAGTTTTTATCTCACTTGACCTGAAAGCTCAAGTGAGCTTTTCTGATCACAGTTTGTCTGTAGTTCGTCTGTCTAGCTGTCTAGCTGTCCATCCGTCTGTCTGTAAACTTTTCACATTTTCGACTTCTTCTCAAGAACCACTGGGCCAATTTTAACCAAACTTGCCAAAAAGCATCCTTGGGTGAAGGGAATTCAAGTTTGTTAGAATAAGGGCCAAGCCGTCTTCCAAGAATCATTAGGCCAGGAAATATGAAACTCATGTGGAAGCATTCTTAGGTAGTGTAAATTCAGTTTTTCCAAATCATGACCCCCGGGGGTAGGGCGGGGCCACAATTGCTGAGCAACGTTTTACATGGGAATATATAGGGAGAAATCTTTTTAAAATCTTCTTCTCCAGAACCATTGAGCCAGGAAATATGAAACTCATGTGGAAGCATCCTCAGGTAGTGTTGATCCAATTTTGTTCAAATCATGACCCCTGAGCGTAGGGCGGGGTCACAATGGCTGAGCAACGTTTTACATGGGAATGTATAGGGAAAATCTTTTAAATATCTTCTTCTCCAGAACCATTGAGCCAGGAAAGATGAAACTCATGTGGAAGAATCCTTAGGTAGTGTAGATTCACGTTTGTTCATATCATGACCCCCAGGGGTATGGCGGGGCCACAATGGCTGATCAAAGTTTTACTAAGGAATGCGTAGGAAAAATCTTTAAAAATCTCCTCCAGAACCATTGGGTCAGGAAAGATGAAACTCATACGGAAGCATCCTCAGGTAGTGAAGATTCAAATTTGTTCAAATCATGACCCCCGGGGGAAGGGCGGGGCATCAATATCTGATCAAAGGTTAAGATAGGAATACATAGGAAAATTATTTTAAAAAATCTTCTCCAGAAACATTGGGCCAGTAAAGATGAAACGCATATGGAAGCATCCGCAGGTAGTGTAGATTCAAGTTTTTTCAAATCATGACCCCCAGGGGTAGGGCAGGGCCACAATGGCTGATCAAAGTTTTACATAGGAATGTATAGGTAAAATCTTTAACATTCTTCTTCTCCAGAAATTTGACTTATTTTAGGCATTACTAGCGAGAGTGCTGAGATCGCTAAAATTAAATAAATGTAAATATTAATTGCGTTATCTTTGTAATGGCTTCTCTAGTGAGCATTTCTAAATCGCTGAAATAAAATACCGGTCTTTAGGACAAATCGCTAAAGGGCAAGAGCCACTTTGTGCCTTATTTGGCCCTGAGAATTTCTGAAAAAAAATCAAAACCGCTGTTTAGGTTTCATATGCAGTATTTATCACATGAAGTGTAAGTGACTACATATCTATTAATCATGACATAATTTTCCCTCTAGTCAAAAGCACACAAGTGTCTTCTGTATTTTATACATGAAATGGGAAAGAGGGTGAAAGTTTATTAATTGACATAAGTACACGGCCATTTTATTCCAAAAGTGAACCTAGGTCTTTGCCTCTCACTAAAATTTCCACTTGTATGCCATCAACTGATATCTTCAATGATTTGAAAAATTAGAGAGACTGGAAGTTTGTAATATTTTCAAAAACATCTTTATTATATCAATCCTCTAAAAGGTTATATCCCATGTACTGATTTATATACTTAATGATTTGAGAAATTTGTAGAGATGGTAAGATTGACCGAAGTAAGATTTACCGTAAATCTAGAAACTTTTGTTGTAGATAAATTTTTAGCAAGTTTGCGAGTTCATTACATTTGGGTTAGTATTTTTCTTACAAATAAATCATCAACAAAATAGGTTAACAAATCGGTGGCCATTTGAAGAAACCAGTTTATGATTTGATTTTTGAGAGCGCCTTAACTACATATAATATCATTGTCAAATGGTTTAACACGCAGTGTGTCTTTATTATAAATTACTTATTCATGAAAATAAAACAGTTTCTCTATCGTACAACAAATACGTAGCAGATTGAACATGCCTAACTTGTAAAATGATTTAAGCACCGATAACAATTCACAAAATTTTAAGCGTAAAAAAATCAATTACTTTTGAACCTAAATTTGCAACATGAAATCGACGTAAAAATGTCCAGATTTACGATATAAAGCATAAACTGCCACAAGCAAGTTTCTACTCGTGTAAAGTACATGTATTGGCATTGTGAAGCTTGTGAAAATTGTTAATTTGAAAAAAAAATACCTTTTCACTGTGATTTTTTTTCTTAAGGTCAAGATCTACTAAATAAGTTGAGACTAATTTTTTGGTGCTAGATCCATTATGACGTCGTAATCAATTTCAATTTTCTTTTTCCTGTAGTTTACGGCTTTAGCACATTTATGTAGAAAATAGGGCATTTTCATGTCATTCAATTTGAAATCATATGAAAAGCAAAGCGGATACCTATATTAAATTTGATATTGATGTAAAGAAGAGGCCATGAACAAACTAATTACCGTTTTCTGAGAGACTGTAGGCAATCTGGATACATTTCCTTTGCCGAATACGAAAAAAACTCCCATATTTATGACTGGTTTTCTTTATTTTTCATTGAAAATGACAGTTTAAAATACAGTTTTTCATCTTGTTTACCTACAAATTATGCCCCGAAACACCTTATTTGACGAAACTAAAGTTGTAAAGCATCAATAAAGGAATTTATTCTCAAATTTGATAAATCTGTAGGCACCTTTCATTTACTAGATCTTGACCTTAAGTAATAAAAAAACTTTGATTTTCTTGAGAAAAAAAGGTTTTTTTTAGTCATTTTCACATTTTTTCTCAGATCGTTGAGCAAAAACAAGATCACAATTATTAAGAATAGAACATTTGTTGATTAGAATTTTCTTTTAATAGGTCCTAAATCATATATATTTTGGAGTATCCACCAAAGTATATTATACTGGATACATATTGATATAACAATTTCATTATCAATTAATAGCATCGTCTTGGGAATTATTTTTACATTTATGTCGGCCCAAACCTTCGTAACATGAATAGTGAATGGAGCGAGAATAACAACAATAGTTCAACGAATAATAAACTTAATTTAATAGATATACTGCAGACAAATTAATAGTCAAAACTGTTCTTTATTGAATTAACCAACTCTGTTCTGGCATCCTTTTGGAAATGCAACATATATTCGACGTTATATGACGTCAGGGTCTAGACGCACCAAATGTCACGTGCTGTTTAACGAGCCCGATCTAAATGAAGCAAAAACTGAATATGTATCTGTGCTCACTCTAACAGTTGCACCATGAACATAATATAAATTAGTACGATAGAAGTAGCTTAGCTTAGCTGATTTTATTTGAAGTGACGAGTATTGAATGATTTAAGGATTCTTGAAAATGATAAGTTAATGTGAGATGCGGCATTCAGACTGACGGAGAAATAAATGGAAGTTACAGTAAAATTTCAGATTTAATATAGCGGGGTGGCCCTTGAGAGCCTAGAAATGTTATTTACATCCTCGATTCTTTTTATAATTATAATTTCCTTAAAGAATGAGGTAAAAGTTTTATGATTTTTAAGCGGTTAGCTTTGCTAACCGCTTTATGGCATGTATCGACACCGGAAACTTCCATAAGGCGCTACCTATCGACAAAACTTCAACAAAGCCTCTAGGCCTATGATTTGTTTCTAACACATATAACGTATGTTTAATTTTTTTCTGATTTTGTTTGTCAATGAAATAAATTTATAATTGTTGTATTAAAAAAGTTTATGTATAGGAGCATTTGGTGTCGAGATTAAATTTCCGTGACGTCAGCTGATGGCGATCGGGCCCTGTGACGAAATTCGAAGTCAGCATGAAGTTTAGCTGATAACTTTATCAACGCGTTGGATTTAAACTTTAGGAAGAAATATATAGTGAGAAATATCATATTTGAACCCAATGTTACAAGAAAACCAGTAGGCATATCCGATTTATGTGTTAAATTGAAGCCTGAATCGAACAGGGGGTCAAAATGGCGTTGCACACCTTGTTTATTTATATATAGAGGGGATAGAATGTTTCGATATTTGGCTAATTTAGAGACTTATTGATAAAAATTCAGGTGCCTGTGATTAATTATAAGGCACCCCTCATGAACAATAAATATTTGACTGAATTATGCTACTGGCACAGGGAGGACGGGTTAATTACTGGCTAAAGGGGTTGAAGGTTATTACCGACTGCAAAACATCGGAAAATCTATCGATCGAGTTTCATTTTCCTTGCCAAAATATTAAGGCATCTCTTTAATTAACTTAAGTAATACTAGTACATGAAGAAAGCCTTTATATAAAAAAAAAACTGAATACATCTGTAAGTTGTACAGTAATGGATTACTTCCATAATGAAACGTTTGTTTTCTTCTCCTTTTTTTCTCAATTGAACTTTTTTAAAAGATGATGAAAGCTTTGTTTCCAGGGATAAATTCTGTACTCAGACTAATTATTACAAACGATTATAAACGATCACATTTTAATTTAAATATTTCCCAAATACTCAGTATATGTTCGCTGATACATATCGTGCTTGCAAGACTTTTTTTAAATAATTGTCATATACCATTTACTTATTCGAACATTTAATTGTATGAAAAGTCAATAATGTACATTTCTTAAAACTTTATTATCTTGTTTACTTGTCTTTCTTCCTGTGAGCGAAATAGTTCATAATATTAATAAACAGATGTACTCAGTATTTGTATCAAAATACAGAATGAACAGTGATCGGTCTCAAAAGAAAAACGGATCCTTGAAAGTTCCTGTGCATAGGAGAAGTAAGCATCCCCAATGACAGGTCACACCTGCTGACCTGCAGTGAGCCTACGAAACTCAAGCTCTCTGAAATTAATTAATTTAAGAATTCTCTGCTCGTCCATCCGTTTTTCTCAGACTAGCCAACTAAAGATCTATGTACAGTACTCCAAATAAATTAATCTAAAGAATTTGAATTATCATTTTATTTTCTTTTTGAGTTGTTTGCTATAGTAGC